GGCAGGACCGCCGAGACGCGCCGCGGTCACACCGCCCGCGTCCTCCGCGGCTTTGCTCCATGTCTCCCTAGTCTGCTGGGGGGCTCCCCCAGCAGACTAGGGAGACGCGGAGTGGCTTTTCTCGCTGCGGAGGACCGAGACAACAAGAGGGAGGGAGGAAGCGAGTAGTTGACTTTACTGTCCAATATGCTTAGGCTTATCGGATAGTCCACTACTCGCTTACACCCCTAGTCCCTGACTGTTGCCACTCTCTTCCTGCAGCCGTGCTTGGATCTCGCAGTCACATGTTTTGTATCTCTGGTGGAATTGGAGCTCTGCTCTGCACGCGCAGTTCTGTGGCTCAGCCCATGACCCCTACCAGAGCACGCTCTCTTAGAAGAAGGCAAGAGCAGTTCTGACAAGCCAGAAGAGCTGGTGTCCTGCTTTCCATCTCCTTCTATGGGTGCTTATGCACGTCACCTTATGGAGAGAGCAGCAGGGCAGAGAGAACAAAATCTCAGGTGCTTGCCTGCATCCAAAGGGCAGATTCCATCACCGGAACGTGGCATTCTGCAGTAGTTTGGCAAAATATCAAATTTGGTGTTAAATTCAGTGAACAAGGAATTATAGAGTGTGCCTGGTCCTGTTTATGTAAGTCATTGTATCTGGTGGCTTTACCAAAGCAGAATCTTTCAGCATGGTCATTGAAGGCTCAGGTAAATACCAGTCACAGAAAGTTTATGAGAGTTCAAAGCAGAAAAGTGTTTTTCTTTCTTCTACTCCTTGAACTTTCAACATCAACATTACTCAGATAATTTCCCACTTGCTGCAGCCTTAAGTTCTTTTAAATGGTGCTGCCAACAAGTATATATTCTGGCTAAGTGATAGTAGCTATTTTATATGCAAGCTATTTTATGCAGTAAGTTTGTCCTCTTGAAACTAATTTTTACTACCTCTTCCTCAGTATCACCACCCTGAGTGTCCTGATCTTATCAGTCTTTGAATAGTTATCATTTCTCCAGCTGGTCTTGTTGATTAGATTTGTTCAGGAGCAATTGAGGGCAAAGTGATTTTTTTTTAAACTCCTGCTCTTACGACACTGGACCTAGCGTAAGGCAGGGTTACTCAACTTTGCATGCCCTGGGGGCCCCGGTGATCCTCACAGCACATGCTGAGGGCCACAACTTAAGTGTGGTTGCATAGACATATACGCAAATAGCTTTTCACATTGACAAGCGTGAATACAAAGATTAAGGCAAGACTACACAACACACAGGCTCCATTTAAGTCAGTTCTGTTGATATTAATTTCCACCCATATGACAGCACTTTTAATGAGCAATAACAGTCCAGGAATTTAACTCCAAAACACAAATCAACCCAAGCCGCAACGTAAATCCAAACTGCACAGCGGGCCACAAATAAATGGGCCACAGGCCACGGTTTGAGTAGCCCTGGCTTAAGGTATGAAACTCCAGCCATGTAGAATATGTAGCTGGAATCAGCTTACCTTGGTGCCGTCCCCACAGTGGGAGGCCAACAGGAGCAAACACTCCTGTGGGCTGACCTTATTCCTTGCAAGAGCAGGAGTACCAGCAGTTGCCGGGGGCGCCCTCTGAGTTCAATTTAGGGAGTCTTCATTAAGCTCACTAAATCAAACTCTGGAAGATTGATTGTGGTAGCGTCGATCTTCCGCATGGTGAAGACAAGGCCTAAGGTTTGAACATCAAGAGAAAACCTTTATGAGAGATAATAGCTCTATGTCTGCCTCTAGATAAATGAAACACTTCGCTACCTCACTCTTTATTCTTTCAGAAACATGAAACAGTTAAATACCTATTGAAACAGAAAATACCACTATGCTTTACACCATAGGCTATGCCAGTGGTCCCCAACCTTTAGAGGCTCCCGGGCGCCCGGGGGGCGGGGCCACTCATGCGCCGGGCGCCCGGGGGCTAGGGCTCGCATCCTGCGGCACGCCGGGGCAGGGATGCCCTTGCACCCGGCACTGGCATGTGCCCCAGGGCTGGGGCTGCCCGAGCGCCGCGCACCAGGCGCCAGTGCGTGTCGCGCACCTGGGGCCAGCGTCTCCCGTGCGCCACGCGCCAGGGGCGTGGCCAGCCCAGGTTGCCCGCATGTGCCCCGGGACTGGGGCCGCCTGAGCGCTGCGCACCAGGCGCCGGTGCGTGTCGCGCGCCTGGGGCCGGCGCCTCCAGTGCACCGCGCGCCGGGGGTGGGGCCGGCCTAGGTTGTCGGTGGGCGTGCACAAATGCCCTGGCGGGCGCATAGCACCCGCGGGCACCGCGTTGGGGACCACTGGGCTATGCATTCTTCTACCTATAGTGATGACGGCCCAGCAATGAAGTGTAGGAGATTACTTTGTCAAACTCAT